GAATGCGACGTTGCCATACCGCCTGAGATATACGCGATAGGAGTCAAGTTATTCAGTGCAAAAGGTGGAATCAGCAAGTGTGTAGGTTGTGGCGTGATCAACAAAGTGCCCAAAGAGGTGTTTATATATATATATATACTAGCTGTCCCAGCAAACGTTGTTTTGCCATATGAATTTACATCGCTATTAAAATATAGGGGTTGGTGATAGAACGGTGAAAATTTAGGGTTGTATGTGTTTTTAATGAAACATAATAAAAATATACATATAAAAATTTGGCCCAGAAAATAAAAAAATAATGTTAGGGGTGGACAACCCTTATTACTTAGGAGTATGGAAAATAGATAGTAGCCGATTTTCAGACCTACTGAATATGCATATAAAATTTCATAAAAGCCGGTCAAGCCATTTGGGAGGAGTATGGTAACTAACATAGTGATACGTGTATTTTATATATATTACAAGCATTTACCCGCGGCTTCGCTCTCGTTAATTTATCCCTTAGGGGTGGAATTTATCCAAAACTTTCTTAGGAGATGCATACGTCATAGTAGCTTTATGCATGCCAAGAATCAGCCCGATCGGTTTAAAATTGACAAAGTTTCATACAAACATTCATCCCCTATTCTATCCCCTTGGGGATAGATCAAAGTCTTAGCGGTAGGCATCCGCTAAGAAAGGTTTATATAACATCTACCTGCATGCCAAATTTCAGCCCGATCCGTCCAGTGGTTTGGGCTGTGCGTTGATATATCACTATGTCAGTCCTTTGAGTTATATATATTTAGACTATAGTCAGTATGTATTACATATATTGTGGTATTTTTCCAGATATATCAATTAATTTTGCAATACGACTTCCTCAAAGTCGGAATAATAATTAATTTATATATTCCAATAAAACCATATCGCACTACTAGTTGGCTCGCGCACTTTGCCTGCATCACACTTACTCGACATTTATCATTATATTTCGCCAAATTTACATAATATCTTTTTAAATTATAGCCTATGTGTTATTCAAATATATAAGTTATATTACTGTAAAGTTACATCAATATCCGTTTAGTAGTTTTTGCGTGAAAGTGTAACAAACATCCATCTATATTCACAAACTTTCGTTTATAATATTAGTAAGATATGAAATGTAACCTGCAATCTATACATATATATATAAATAAAATTGCAGTGACTGTTTGTAAAATTGAAATAACCGTTTTTACTACATACATATGAATATAAATACGATACATACACCAAAATAACATTTTTTACAAATTCTATGTCTATCTGTTTGTTCCGGATAATCTCTGAAATGGCTGGACCGATTTTGACGGGACTTTTATTGGCAGGTAGCTGATGTAATAAGTAGTAACTTAGACTACTTTTATTTTAGACAAAGCCGCGGGTACAGCTAGTGTCTCAGTATAATTATCCAGTATCATATCATTTCACAATAAAGAAATGTAATCTTAAATTAATATCGAGTTAATAAATTATATTAGATTATTATTATAATGATAGTGTATGATATGAAGTAATAATCTGCATATTTATCACACATATATACGTTTAAGGTCAACGTTAGTATGTGTATATAGATATTATCTACAGATTAACACTATAATACAGAATGTCTCGAATTATTAAGATATAAATGTAAACTCCAAGAAAACACTGCCTGATGAAATTATGCCGATACTGATACCGGTGTAGCTCCCATTAAATATATATTTGATTCTTGGGAGAGGTCTCAGGATGCAGTCGGTGTATTTTGTGATCTTTCAAAAGCATTTGATTGCGTTGAACGAAACATTTTGCTCATTGAACATTACAGTATCAGATACAAGCACTAAACATGATGAAATAAAATAATAGAATGAAAGTTGTTGAAATAAATTGTAATTCTAAGGGAAGTAGTATTAAAATGGGTGTTCCTCAGAGATCTATTCATCCTTTCTTATTTTTAGTTTACATAAAAGATCTTTACATGGTAGAAAAGATAGCTGACATAGTTCTGTTTGCTGATGATACTTCATTAGTTTTCAAAGTCCATCGAAATATTAATGGTATGGACGAAATAAACGGTGCTCTCTCTTATGTTTTAAAATGGTTTACTGCTAATATTATGCTACTAAATGCAAATAAAACTAAATGTATCAAATTTACGCTCCCCAATGTAAGGCCGGTAGATACAAAAATCGTATTGGACAATAAACCTTTTAATTTTGTTAACGATACTGTATTTCTAGGTATTGCATTAGATTCCAAGTTGCAATGGGGTGCTGATATTACTAAATTGGCGAGTCGACATATTTATGCGGTAAGAAGATTTAGACAATTAACAGACGTGGCAACGGCTAAACTTGTCTATTTTAGCTATTTCCATAGCATTATGTCGTATGGTATTTTGTTATGGGGTAAAGCAGCTGATATAAATACAATATTTATTTTATTATACAAAAGAGGGCCATTCGCTCCATTTATAGTACGGGTTCCAGGATTCTTTCTGAGTGTGCTTTAAGGAATCAAATATCCTCACCGTTGCTTCTCAATACATTTATGAAAATATCATCTATGCCAGGAAGAATATAGATAATTTCAAAAGAGTTAGTGATTGCACTAAAAAAAGCTTACGTAACAATAACAAACTGATTTTACCTAAATGTCGTTTGGCTAAAGTTAGTAATTCGTTTTATGGCAATTGCGTAAGGTTTTACAACAAAATACCAGAGTCTGTTATAAATCTGCCAGAAAAAAGATTTAAATGTCTTATAAAACACTTCCATTGTAAAAAAGCTTACTATAAAATTGAAGAATTTGTTAACGATAATAATGTTTTTATAGAAAACTTTAAATCCATAGCACTGACAATATTATCTGATTACACTAATAATGAGTGCGTAGCGATTTCTATGTTGATTATTACTCTTATGAGCCTCTTACTTGTTATACTGTAATTATTTATGTAAAAAAAAACATCTATTAAAAAGAGCAACACACAAGTTTCTTGCTCTTTCTTCTTGTGATGAATCTGCATTTCGAATGAGTGATAGAATCAAAATATGACTATTCGAAAGTGCTTGTAATGGGTTTATTTGAATAAAGATTATTTTTATTTATATTTCTTTATTATATTATTTTGTTTAATTCCGCTACAATTAGCATGTGTGAGACCACAAATATTCGGGTGGTAACTTGTCTACCGTTGCGACCTTCTCTAATAGCGATCAAATTTCGACCGTTATTGTGTCTACATCCAATATTCCGACATGTGTTTCGTCACTGAACGAGGCATCATCATATCACATGAAATGATTGAGAAAAAAACAATATGCTACCTAAGGTAAATTCATGTTTAGTAATATTTTTTAATAAATCCAGACAAATTAAGCAACTATTTATATATAGTGGCCGAGGTTAATAAATAAATAAAAAAACATGAACATGATTATCAACTTATTGTTATATTGTACATTTTTATTATCTCCTTATTTATAATATATTATCACAACCTATAAATAATAAAATTCAATTAATATAGCCTTATGAACTACTTAAATTATTATAATTTACAATATCATAGAGATCTGCTAACTCGGTATAAACATGACTCGAGTTAACTTGAGTTGAAATTCAGGTAACTCGAGGAATGAGGAACCTGGAATAAAAAGTTTTTTTTTATTTTTTCGAACAATTCTAATGTTTTTGGACGCAGCTGGCCTTGAAATTCCTCGCCTTCCGCGGCTGTAAAGTTCCATTTCTACTGGCCTCCTAAAGTTCGGTGAAGCTACCAAGCTTTAGGAGGCCAGTAGAAATGGAACTTTAAAGCCACGGAAGGACTTATGGAACGCATAATCATTTTATTGATAACATAATCGGACGAATATGCGAAAAAAAAATGGTAACAACCTCAAATCAATACTGAAATATTTGTGACGAGTGAAAATGGTATGATATGAAATGATCGGAAAATTTCATGTCATTGCCAGTTCGATGACAGAATCATGCTCCCGATCTTTCACTTGATTCGTTCATTTACCAGTTGAATTCTTCCAACTCGAGTTGGCGGTATTCAACTCGAGTTAACTCGAATTATGCGCAACTCGAGTTAACTCGAGTTGACGAATCTCTACAATATCATGAGTTCATATATAATACATCACATTTATAACATCTAGTTTATCTACAAGCGTTGTATACAAACTTTAAAGGTACTTCAAGATCAGGCGCCTTCCTGACCGGGTCGACACGTTTTAATTAATCTTTAACACAGAAAATTGTGTATGACCTTCATACACAAACGAAAACGGGTCAATTAGGAAGCTCTAATTTAATTATATGCTTTTTTTATACATTTTTTATATTGTCTAGATATGATAGGGTCATTCTTATGGTAATCAGTTACCGTAGCGCTTGGACTCTAGAAACACCATATAAATCTCTAACTTGGTACAAAAACTAACGAACACAACCAGACCTCAATGTCCTTACAGCATAGTCTTTTAACATATTATATGTCTATTATATTATATACTATCTTACTAATATTATAAACACAAAACTTTGTGTGTATGGATGGATAGCTGGATGTTTCTTACTCTTTCACGCAAAAATTACTAAACGGATTTTGTTGAAACTTTACAGTAATATAGCTTACACATCAGAATCACTAGGTCGTTATATATACATACTTATTGATATAAACATATATAATTTCATGGAACATTAATATATAAATAGGCGGGATAAGTAAAACATCTATACATGTAAATAAAATTGGAGTGTCTGTTTGTAATATTGAAATAACCGTTTCTTACTACATGCATATGAATATAAATACGGTACATATATCAAAATAACATTTTTTACAATTTTTGTCTGTCTGTCTGTTCGTTCCGGCTAATCTCTGAAATGGCTGGACCGATTTTGACGAGACTTTTTTTGGCAGGTTGCTGATGTAGTAAGTTAGGCTAACTGATGGAGTAACTTAGGCTACTTTTAAGAAAATTAAAGTTAAATCCCACGCAGACGAAGTCGCGCGAACAGCTAGTTCTAAAATATATTTAAAAAATCAGACATATATAATTTTGGGAGAAAACGCCTTACGGTGTCAAGTCAGCCATATGCACCGTTATTTTTATATTTGTGCATTAAAGTTTTAATAAATAAACAAGTAAACCACTGCACATGACATAATACAAAGTAATAGAGCACTCCGTCTGTTTGTCATCCATTTTAATCTCATCGGAACGTCAGTCGTTGACTTTTGACCGACTATATACTGTATATCATGGTTCTAAGACGGGAACACACACTACTCTATATCACTGGGATGCTTGTTCCGCGACATGGCAACAATCTTCTCGGCCTGTTCGACTGTGTCCGGGAGACGCATGTGCAGGGTCTCCGGCGTGAGCAGCATCAGCGCCCCCGCGCAGCCAGCCATCGCACCGAATACCAGGTACGGAAGTGACGCCATGTATGCCATCTGCCAATTTAAACATCATATCAAAAGATTTTCTCGCGAGACTAATCTCAAATAATGAGGATCCAGAGGAGCTTCTTTCCGCGGACACTAACAGAATGTGGAATGAACTGCCGAGGTCTTTCCTAGGGGTTACAGCATGTGGTTTTTCAAAAAGGGTTAAGGTTTCTTAAGCGTCGGCAACACCCCTAATGCTTCAGTAGTCTATAGACTATGTTTAACTTACATTGTAAATGTTTGCCAGCATCGTGGCAAAAATCGAAAAAAACGGCATCGCTTGGGGTTCGAACCTTGGCTCGGACCGTCGTAATTTCAATCTCCGTTTCTCCCTCTATCCCGGACGTATCCCATCTTAATTGGGGTCGGCTCTCCAAATCATCCTTCTCCAGAGACTTCGTGTCTGGATCGTCATTGGAAAAATTAAGATAATCACTGATTTAATTATTGACACGAGTGATTTCAATGATATTGCAATCATTCAAGCAAACATCGAACGAAATTAATTCAAGAGACGACAGACAAAAAAAGGAAAAATTAAGATAATCACTGATTTAATTATTGACACGAGTGATTTCAATGATATTGCAATAATTTATGCAAACATCGAACGAAATTAATCCAAGAGACGACAGACAAAAAAAGGAAAAATTAAGATAATCACTGATTTAATTATTGACACGAGTGATTTCAATAACATTGCAATCATTCAACCAAACATAGAACGAAATTAATCCAAGAGACGACAGACAAAAGGATTTCTTAGTATACGAGAGCACAGTAGGGCCTAGTTGTTTCAATCGTCAATAGATACCAAATGTCATGACCTGGAATTTGGTAGACATTAATTTATATTTTATGACTATCTCTCTATCTAAGATCCATGTCCTGAATTATATCACAGCTGAGGACTTTAAAAAATATATAATTTTCTTATAAAATATTTATTAATTACATCATTACATCATTGGCAGCTCCACGATGGAGGCCGTCGAGAGATACAAATCTGTCGAAATATAATTTTTAATTTAATAGGAAAGTGCTGCATCGTCAGCAAAACTGCACGTGGAAGAATTTTGTAGCTGACAGTGCAGCCTAGATCACGAATTTACTGTAAAGATTATTACACACTATTGTATTAAGATAGGTACATATTATTGTTTTTATTTCACTGCCTTTTCTCATCCTTCAACCAAAAAACCGATATAATAATAATATAATATCTCAGGACAATTCATTCATCACACAGCGCCATCTAGTCCCAAGCTAAGCAGAGCTTGTGTTATGGGTACTAGACAACTGATATAAATACTTGTATACATTTTTTTTTTAATAAATACATATTATACATAGAAAACACCCAGACCGATACAAACAATCATACTCATGAATACAAATGTTTGTACAGTGCGAGGAATCGAACCCACGACCATCGGATAGTAAAGCGGTGTGCTAAATATATATCTTACTTTTCATTGAAGATTGGAGATACCCACTTCAACGGTTCAAATGTTTAGTACTTAACTAGAACACAACAATCTCAAATAAACGATAAAATAAAAAACTTTGTTTTCATTACAATCTGTACTGACCAAAAGCGGGGTCTGCGGAGCAGCAATGGAGCCAATTCTACCGAACATGGAGCAGACCCCGAGCATCCTGTGCCTGGCGGTGGTCGGGAAGAGCTCCGACGTGTAGATGTAGATGCTGCTGAACGCCATGCTGATGCACAGCTTGCCCAGCATCGTCAGCGACGTCAACAGCCACTGCAGACCTGGAGGTTATCAACGATCGTGACTAAAGTGACACATTAATGAACGCCGTGAATATTGCTCTGCACACTATATAAAAGTATCCTAGATAAATTTGTTTTGTGGCTAAAATATCTGTCCTAAATTTAAATAAATGTAACAAATGGATGGATGCATTTTGAGATTTCATTTAAATTTGGTACTGATATCCTAGAATATGTCAACATATTCTAGAATCAAATTAAAATGAAATTTCAACAACCATCCGTCCAAAGATCTTTACAAAATTTGCCGTTTAAAATGATTAGCTTGGATGAAGGGAGATGGAGTCTTTGAATAGAGATGAAATGAACACTGAAGAATACCTATATCGTAATTTGTTGTTTGTTTTGTGTACAGATTCATAGCATGAGTACATCTGTCTCGTCTACCGATGCTGCCAAGCAACCAACTTTGTAAGCTATATTCCGGTTTGTAACTTCAGATATGGCAGTGAAATTATCTGTTATTGTCGTATTCCGGTACGGAGGTACAACAACTTAGTCCTCAATATTGGCAACGCTTGAGAAATCCTACTGACGACTAAATGAATTTTCTGACATTCTTTGTGCAGCACATCTATAGGATGACGGTTACCACATTTCATCAGGTAGGCCATTAATTTTAGCATTAACTAGAAATTCATAAAAAATATTTCTTATTCTTAAACCTACTATTACTTCAATTAGTGTTATGTATTAGTAATTGTACATACCAGTTGGTATAAATGGCAGAGAGATTAGGGCTAGGCCACAAATGATGAATGCAGTCATGATAGACCGCTTCCTGCCGAAACGATCGAGCGTGATTACGCTAATGAAGTACCCCGGGATTTCTACCAGCGACGTTAGGATGTAGTTCACATAACTGTTCCCTGCTAATGCCACAGAGTTTATTGATAGTCCATAATAAATAAAAGTCACTGTTATCCACCAAAACGAGCAAATGCATAATCGAGACATCAATATTTTGGACTTGATCACGGTTAAAAAGAGAGACGGCTTCTTCTTTTCCTCAGTGTTAGGCAGTATTTCTACATTAGGTTCTTCGGCTTTCTCTTCTTCTTGTGTCAACTGTTTAACTGATTCCGGCGATAGTTTCTTTCTATTCATATCAGCTGCTTTGAATATTATTCTTGCTGCTTCTGCTTTTCTGTTTTTGCTAAGTAACCACCGCACACTCTCTTCTATGACGAAGTAGTAGAAGACGAATAGAAGTGACGGTGCGTATAGTACTCTTGTTAAGGTCCTCCAATCAGGGATGGCCCAAGCTACCAGCGCTAGGACCACTTGTCCAATTGCAAATGTACACGATATTAAATTCCCACCGAGAACGCGACGGTTCAGACCCACCATTTCTAGAGCTGAAAATAGGTAGTAATTATATGTTATATATTCTTCTAATTCGATATCTTTATATATATCTCTTCTACTATACTACTGAATGATTTCTATATTTTTGAAATCACAGAAGGACGTGGCGCCACAGGAAATATATTTCTCAGTTTTGTATTTGCAACATCGTAATTTTCTAACGAGTAATAAAATTAAATCACTAGATAGACACAAAACAAGATATAAATCTTTTAGTACTCAGAATTGCATGACTAAGCTACCGCAAATGTATAATGTATAAATGTATAAATTCTAATGATTTTCTTGAAGTAATTAATATACATACCGAGAATGAAGCCGGTACTATAGACGCCGGAGCCCAGCGTTGCGTCGAGGAACTCAAACACAAGGTACATGATGTAGTTAGGGGAGAAGGACCGTATGAGGCCCATCACGCCGCCGCTCACTGCGGTCAAGATGAAAGCTGTACGTCGGCCGAAACTGAAAAAAAAAAAAATTACAGACAAGCAGTCATCATATAAGATCTAACTAAATGTATTAATTTATAATAATATTTTCAAAAATCAAATAGTAAAATGAACACTTTTTATTTATTATATATGTATATATTTATAATATATGTAACATTCATTTTGTTATAATAACAACCTAGGACAATTCACACAGCGCCATCTAAGTACCTACCATCCTAAACTAAGCATAGCTTCTGTTGTGAGTTCTAGACAATTGATAGAAATATTTAAATACATTTTTCTTGTAAATACTGAAATAACATACATCCAGAAGAATACAAACAATCATCAAATATTTGTACTGTGCGAGGAATTGGTGTGCGAAATCACTAGATCACTGAAGTTATCAAATGTCTCTATACTTCATAATAATACTACCATATCTAACTCTTCAAGCTAAAATACATCTTAACACAAGCTGTCTGATGGTAGGAATAGTTGAATACAGATACCACACAGGTGACTTTGGACAAATTCCATCCTAGTACCAACTATGCAAATAAAATATTTCCCGCAAAGAACATCCTTGGAAAAATATTTGAAATTTGTCTTTATTCATGAACTTTTATTATTTAGATATTTGAAGATACATTTGCTACTTACGTGTCTGATACAAATGAGGTGAGGGGCAGGGCAGCAAAAAGTCCTACGCTATGTACGGTACCCACCATAGTGCGTTTCCAGTCTTCGCACGCCAAATCAAACTAAAAAAAGTATTTATTTATTTATATACATTGGGCATATGCCCAATACAGTAGTGCATCCAATAGAAATAGAAAAGAAAATCATTTATTTAAATAAACTTAAATTAAGCACTTTAGATAGTTATAGTTATCATTTTTTTAATCTACCGCTCATTCGGAAAGTTGTCTCACCACAAGAAGAAACTTGCACACGCAAATTTGCTCTTTTAAACAATCATCGTAATTTTACATTTCCAATTCGAAACGTGTGAATACAAACTACCAACGAGCACCAATTTAATAGCTTCAGATATTAAGTACACTAGGATTTTTTTTTAAATGATAATGTAATGGTGCACCCGCCTGCGCTAACGGTTTACGCTGGCGGGGCACCAGTAGAGGATGATAAGATGAACATGAGGTCAAATCAGTTAGCCCAACTGACAAATTCACCGGAATGTATCACGATGGCTTCCAGGGGGAACTGCCTGGAGATCGATCTGACATGGTACATCGCTAGCAATGGGAACATTAGTCCACATTACTAACAATCCCCTTCCCATCAGTACACTAGGATTAAAACAGTCGTAGTGATTGATCCACATTATGAGTCTTAATATTGTGAAGTGAATACGGTGCAGGTTTCCAAGCAATAAGGGCTAACAGTTTAAAAATACTATTGGAAACTTTATAAGGTTGCGTTCTTTTCTTTTGGAGCAGTCTTTTTATAACGTTGATTAATTTATTAGCAGCAGACATTTTAAAATATATAATACATTTTTGAGTATTTAACTGAATATATATAACGAATAAATCTATGCATATGAATAAAATTGGAGTGTCTGTTTGGAATATTGAAATAATCGTTTTTTACTACATGCATATGAATATATATACGGTACATATTCCAAAATAACATTTTTTATAATTTTTGTCTATCTGTCGGTTTTTTGTTTGTTTTTATTCCAGCTAATCTCTGAAATAGCTGGACCGACTTTGACGGGTCTTCTTTTGGCAGGTTGTTGATATAATAAGGAGTAACTTAGGCTACTTCTATTTTAGTCAAAATTCTTTATTTTAGAAAACTAAAGTTTAATTCCACGCGGACGAAGTCGCGGGAACAGCTAGTAAGTAATAAATACTCAAAAATGGTATACATTGTAGATACGATAACATTATCTGAGAAATAAATTGCTCCTAAAATATACATACAATTTCTTACAGATTACAAAGAAAGATGCCTAGTAGCAGATTTGCAGCGACAGAAATCTCAACGCAGTCTCTCTAGACAACTCCATGTAATTCTTGTATGGTAACGGATGAAATTTTCTGTCGACCCAACAATTTCTTTATCATTCCAGTTGTAGAAAACAAATTTAATATAAGAAATACATAGAATGGAATAGAAATTTATTCAAATAAACTTCAATTTAAGTACTATTGAATAGTCACATTTTAATCTACCGCTCATTCGGAAAGCTGTCTCATCACAAGAAGAACGAGCAAGGAACCTGCATGTTGCTCTTTTAAATAATTTTGTTGTCACTTCACATTTTTAAGTTGTACTCTGTGAATACAAACTACCAACTAGCACTAATTGTCTGCTCTTTTCAATAATTTTGGAAACAACATTTTTAAATTGAAATTGTTGTTAGTTGGTAGTTTGTATTCTTACAGAATACAAACTACCAACTAGAAGTACATTAAAGTCAGAATATTAAATATACAATTTATTATTACGCTAGAATAAATACTCGACAGCCGGAAAACGTGTACAAATTATACAGTAGTATCTAACGAAGGTGTTTCTAATATATCTGGATAGATCTAGTTGATACCAGTTCATCGAATTATAATCCTGATGTTATTAATTTAACAAAGAAATACCAATTGCGACAATTCGCTATCAATTAGGTAATTATGCTAAAATCGTTGATAGAGCGTATTATACATAATTCATATTAATAATAATTCATATTATAATCTCTCTCATTGTTTTTTTACGATATCTTTGTTGTTACATTCTAGTTATTGTTTTTATTCAAATTCAAATTCAAAATATCTTTATTCATGTAGGTCTATTACAGACTCTTATGATATGTCAAATCTACCGTCAGTTCGGAATGATATCGAGATGAGAAGAACTGACAAGAAACTCAACTGATATAAATACATGGATACTTTTTTCAAATTTGGGAAATAGAGTACATTTAATTTTTTATTTATTTATACATAGAAATAATCACATCTATATCTATACAAACAATCAAATTCATGAATTATATATATTTTGTGCCGTCGAGTGGTCTAATCGAACCCGCGACCATCGGACGTAAAGCGGTGTGCTAGACCTCTAGACCATTCATGAGGATTGTTTGTATCGCTGAGCAATGTTTTAATATAAAATGTATCCATGAATATCACTAGTAAAATTACTGGAGTTATTACGTCATGTAAATTCATAAAAAATGAATCTCAAATGAAATGAAAACTTACAAAAATAATAACTGAGGACGATTCACACAGCGCCATCTAGTTTCAGAGCTTGTATTGCAAGTGCTAGACAACTGATATAAATACATAAATACATTTTTTTGTATATATATACATATTATACATATAAAACACTCAGACTGATACATATCTATAATGATACTCATGAATACAAATGTTTGCACAACGGTCATCTTGTTGTTTTTACTTTGTTTTTAACACTAAACTTTACTACAGTTACCAAAAAATCAATAGAGGTGAAGCGGTGTGTAAAAACCGAAAAATATGGGTCTCAATTATATGTTTGGGATCACATTAGTTGATTTTATAAAGAGATAACATCTAGTGAAAGTATGTTTTCCATTTTAAATTCAAAATCAAAATGAAAAAGCATTTTTTCATGTAGGACATTTTAGTCGCTTATTAACGTGAATTTTTATATTATAATAACTAGCTGTACCCGCGACTTCGCCCGCGTGGATTTTAACTTTGTTTTTCTAAAATAAAAGTAGCATAAGTTACTCCTTATTACATCAGCTGCCTGCCAAAAAAAGTCACGTCAAAATCGGCCAAGCCATTTCAGAAATTAATTAGCCGGAACAAACAGACAGACAGACAAAACTTGTAATAAAAATGGGTTATTTCAATATTAAAACAGACACCTCAATTTTATTTATATATATAGATTTTTTCCCTACCGTCATGTCTTATACCGACGATGTACCCACTGGTACAAATGACAGAACGCCCAAAGTGGACTTGGATACGATCCTGATAAAGGAATTGGGACAATTCGGGTTGTTTCAAATCATTCAATTTTCTCTACCTAACAAAATTGTGTTGTTATATTTCGTACTGACCTCATAAACTATTGTGTGGTTCCTCTCATAAATCCAAGAGGTGCATCTCAGAGTCTCATTAACGTGGAATGCGTCGGCAGTGCACGTGTGGTCGATGGGACGGAGTTTCTCGCAGCGACCCCCTGACTCCGGGAAGGCCCACACACCCCAACCACCGGTCTCGAACTCCGGCGGAGACGACTCGCATTGTGGTACTTTGCATCTGAAATCAATGTTGGTACCTTATCATCATCATAATCCACTTGGAAATCGCTTAACAGACTGCGAACCCAGATGGGCCGCTGCAGGTACAACTTGGCAAAGTGAGGTGCCGCTTCAAGGGAGGCTTGTGACTGCGGAGCACCATCCCAGACTATGGCACACCTGCTAGCTTGTCCTGTGTGCCCAGCATCCTGCATAAAGGAGGACCTAAGGGAAGTGACGGAGTGCGCAAGGGTCGTCGCGGAGTTCTGGGGAAAATATATTTAAATATATATATTTCGTTGCCGTTGAAACGAAAGAAGAAAGAAGATCATTATGGGACACAGTCACCTAGATACATCAAAATAATAATTGCATTTAATAATGTCTAGTAAGACAAATTCAATATTGTCTACTAGGCACTGCTGTGTCTAAACTGTGTCACCCCACCTTACATTTTCCTATTGTCATTTAGTATATAAGATCATTATTTCTATGTACATATTGTCAGTTTATTATCATCTGTAATATACATCGTCTCGACCAACAACATAGTATCATTTACCTGCAACAATCATAATCATGACTAAAATTCTCACTAAAACTCATCATCATCATCATCACTAAAATTAAGACGACGCATCGCAAATATTGACGTTGGAAATCTCGATTTTTCTCAGCAATTACAAATCATTCGTGGCTGACATAAAAACAATTGTGATTGTTACAGCCTATGCTGTAAATAATATAAATGACGTAGTGGAGTAACTTGAAACAGTCATGCTCGCTATAAAGTTCAAACTTGTGGCGGCGTGGTGGGCCGGGTCGATGTGCTCCCTCTAATATGGTTGAGTGCAACGATGGCTGGCTCATCCGTCATACTCGTGAAATGGTGCTGCTTGTGGGGACTAGTCTGTTCAGGTTGCGAACACTGATTAGATTTTTTTGTTTTTTGCAATAGCATATGCTGGTGGTCACTCTATTCTCCCAAATTTGAACTTTAATGACTGTGTATTATTGTAAACATGTACATTTATTTGAAAAGAATACGAGCTGAGTTTCTTGTCAGTTCTTCTCATCTCGAAATCATTCCGAACTGACGGTAGATTAGACATATCATAAGAGTCTGTAATAGACCTACATGAATAAAGATATTTTGAATTTTGAATTTAATAAAAAAATACGAGCTGAGTTTCTTGTCAGTTCTTCTCATCTCGAAATCATTCCGAACTGACGGTAGATTAGACATACCGTAAGAGTCTGTAGTAGACCTACATGAATAAAGATATTTCGTATTTTGAATTTAAAAAAAAAACGAGCTGAGTTTCTTGTCAGTTCTTCTCATCTCGAAACTGAGGTAGATTAGACATACCATAAGAGTCTGTAGTAGACCTACATGAATAAAGATATTTCGTATTTTGAATTTAAAAAAAAAACGAGCTGAGTTTCTTGTCAGTTCTTCTCATCTCGAAATCACTCCGAACTGATGGTAAAATTGACATATCATAAGAGTCTGTAATAGACCTACATGAATAAAGATATTTAGAATTTGAATTTGAATTCCATTCTGTATATCTGCGAAGTGCATTACACAATGACTACACTCATTGTTGGAGAATAAATTAAACTACAAAGACATGAGACGAGAGCAACGGAAGATATATTATTGACTTATTATATTGATCATACTTACGCACTCTATATTTCGACATATGACTTACAAATTCAAGTAATTTCATGTGATTCCTGTACAAATTGATATTTCAGAGACTATATATATTTGTAATGAAATTAACTGTCAACGTGCTACAGTAACCGTTTACCATCAGTCGGTCGTATGGTGGTATAAAATCAAAACTTAAAAGTTGTTACAAAATCTTAGCATTATGATTTATTATAGGCGAATATTTTATGAAGTGAAGTGCGTAGCGGTTTCTATGTTGATTGTCGCATGCCTAATCCTTGTTGTTAATTAAATATAAGTAAATCAATATTTATTTAAAAGAGCAACACACAAGTTTCTTGCTTATTCTTCTTGTGATGAATCTGCATTCCGAATAAGCGGTAGAATAAAAAAACTTGACTATTCCAAAGTGCTTATTCAATTCAAATTCATAATTCAAATTCAAATTCAAATTTTTCAAATTCAAATTCAAATTTTTCAAATTCAAAATTTTTTTTTTCAAATTCAAATTCAAAATATCTTTATTCATGTAGGTCCACTACAGACTCCCATTATATGTCAAATCTACCGTCAGTTCGGAATGATATCGAGATGAGAAGAACTGACAAGAAACTCAGCTCGTATTAAGTTTATTTGAATAAAGATTATTTCTATTTCTATTTCTATTTCTATTTCTATAAGTAACTAGCTGTGTCCGCGGTTTCACCCACATCAAATTTACAACTTATGTGTCATTCTGATCTATAAGCTATTACATAGCAAACTACGCTAATATAACAATACTAGCTATTGCACGCGGCTTCGCTCGCGTTAATTTATCCCTTTAGGGGTGGAATTTATCAAAATCCTTTCTTAGAAAATGCCTACGTCATAATAGCTTTATGCATGCAAAGTCTCAGCCCGATCGGTTTAAAAATGACAAAGTTTCAAATAAATTTTCATCCCCTATTTTATCCCCTTGGGGGTAGAATTAATCAAAATCCTTTCTTAGCGGATGCCTACGTCATAACATCTGCTTGCATGCCAAATTTCAGCCCGATCCGTCCAGTGGTTTAAGCTGTGCGTTGATAGATCACTATGTCAGTCAGTCAGTCAGTCAGTCACCTTTGAGTTATATATACTTAGATGTGCAACACTACAAACACTAGTAGTAGAGAGTTAATTCCATTATAATTATTATAAGTATGACACTACTGTCAGTAACTTACTGTTAAGTATTTACCACAGTAGAATAAAAAAAAAATGTTGGTCAACAAACAGTTACACATTATACATATGGCTTTAGGCTATTTTCTAATATTTTTTAACAGTTGTGTCACTCTCTACGTTAACCAATGAGTACTATAATTATATAATACTGCCAGGCCAGTTACATAGATTATGTGTTACTTATTAATTAACTGCCATTACTAATTCTACTAGAAAGAAAGAAAGAAAAATATTTTATTCAGTGCAATGTAAAAAATACAATATAAACAACAAACGAAAAAAAAGAGCAAATAAAATGTACATATAATTAAAATTAATTTACCATAACTAAAAAATAAACATAACTAAAACTATTTTATATTAACAATACAGAGAAAAGTAAAAATTTTATGCTGACCACAATGCAGACTTTTATATGTTGTGACAACCAACATATAAATCCAAAACTAATTGCAAAATTTAATTTAAATGACAATTGTTTAAGTGATGTTTCGTTTCGTTCACTTGTACTCAAAGTTAACAGCTATTTATAAAATTTCACGCTCCAATGCACAGGCACTTGTATAAATAATAACATGGTTACTCAAGTATATCATTGTGAGTACATTTACAATATGCTCAACTTATATTGTTTACAATATATTGTTGATACAAAGATAATGTATTTACATAAATTATTGTACAACTAAAAGCCTAAAATTAAAAACCTTATAATGTATATAATATACTAACTAAAATATATTAGTCCCTTTAGGCAAGGTTCCGAAGATACTGGCAGCGTTCCCTCTTTGAATGGCTAGACTAATTCTTTGTCAGAGGTAGCTGCCAGCTCTTCGGTCTTCTGTGATGTAATAATTAGTTTGATTAAATAGAAAAATGTTAATTTTCAAAATTAGAAGCTAGAATTGCCTCCTCTCATATAAGTCAATTAAATTAACCACGCCGTCTTAATCATTATCTAAATACTTTTAAAATTATATATAATACTTGTGTGTAAATTTAAAACTTTAAACGTAAAAATAAATTAAATTAATAAAAATCTTTAAATACAATAAATTAAAAAAAAATTGTCTGTCTGTTTGTTCCGGCTAATCTCTGAAAGGGCTGGACCGATTTTGACGGGACTTTTATTGGCAGGTAACTGATGTAATAAACAGTAAATTAGGCTACTTTTATTTTAGAAAAATAAAGTTAAATTCTCGCGGGGACAGCTAGTAATAAATATGATTTTGACATAATAAGTAAGTTATGTTAATTATCAGTTAAACGGAAAGATAAAATAAGAAATGATGAAGTACTGCAAAGGGTTAATGAATATATCATTGACACAGACAGATTATATGTATATATCATTGAAAATATACGGTGGAAAATGTTAGGGCACTTATACGATACGATGTATTTATGAATAATATTATAGAAGGAAAGAAAAAGTAGAAGGAAAGAGGGGAAGGGAGAGAACATAAAGAATACAGATAAATGTAGATCATGGAAGAAAGGAGAGGAAGGGGAAGAACAGAATGCAGACGAACGCAGATCAAGGAAAAGTTGGAGATGTATCGTATCAACAATTAAAGAAATTAATGGAAGATCGTGCGAAATGGTTAGAGCTCCACCAATAAAAGTGCGGCTCTTAAGTTATGAATGAATGAAGTAAGCAAAGTTATTCAAATTCAAATTGTAGGGCATATTAGCCGCTTATGAACGTCAAATTTTTTACATTATATTTTTAATTTTTTCCCTACCGTCCAGTACTGTATTTAGATCCAAATGATAAGAACTGGCAAGAAACTTAATTGAATTACTTTTTTTTTATTCAGTTTATTTACAATGTATATTTATATAGGTGTCTATGTTTAACATTAAATGAAAATCCTGTGCATGAACAACTATTGCCATGCACATTCATTCAAGTAATCGTTTAGTGAGTAATAGGCTTTGCTCAATAGATATGATTTAATTGCAATTGATAGAAATGAAAAGAATGTTTTAAAGAAAGAGGCAAATGAATGTAGATGGTTATATGGGTAGAGGAAGGCGGAAAAGAAATGGATGGACTGTGTGCAAGAAAGGGAGTGAATAACGAGATGACAAAAGAGGGATGTATGGAAGAAAAACACATCTTGTTA